TATTACTAATAAGCTCAGTAGGAGCAGCAGACAAAGAAGAGGCATCTTCCATAACAACATCTTGAAGAGTTGATGCTGTCGATGATATTGATGTTGTTGATTGTGGTGGTGGCACAGCAGCATTAGAAGAAGGAGTATTTGCATTGGATGTTTGTGGTTCTTTTTGTTCTTCCATTTTATTTTATTTATTATTGTTATTAAATAGATTAATTACTGAAAACTAAAAAAATTTGTGGCACAGTAAATAAGAAACGATTAAATTTTCAGGTTGAATTAAATCCCTTATTATTATCATCTAACAAAAATGTCGTTAATAACATAACAAACTTCTTACAACAATAAGTTATTCGCAAATGTAGCAGATAAAACATCCAAAAACAATTAAAACAACTATAAAGAAAAACCAAGAATGGAAGATAAATTAGATGAGAGCTTTTTCAAATTTATATATAGATCTGATCTTTATTTATGAATACAACAACAATATGGATGAGAATCAAAGCTGTAAAAGCACCTCGGAACATTTGAATAAATAATTTAAAAGGTATGTCACCTGAAATATGATGGAAGAGCATGGACTTCAGATGACAAACAAACTAAAGTGCAAAAACTGTAATAGAGTTTTATCGAGGACCTACACACCACAGTTTGTCTTGACATATGACTTAAATTCTTAAAATAAATAAACATTGATGTTTGATATTGATTTCTTTTTATATTTCAGAAAAAAATTTATTTATTAATAATAATATTGTTAATAAATGGTTGATAATCCTCTTTCTTTACCTTTAATCTTTAAGCTTTGTAAAAAATGGTCAACGCAAAATTAGAAGCACAATGTAAAGCCATTTTGCATTTTGGATGAATGATATCCGTTCACCAAAAGAAATACATACCCGTTTGTGCCATTGAGAAAAGCTGGCTCTATTGAACATAAACATAATGTATCGATTTCACAGCCTGCTACTGTTCGGGGACATGTGAAAAAAAGGTTATAAAAATTCTGTGCCAATGCTAACCACTCGTCACTTTGAAGCCCGGACAACATGGGTACAGGCTTATTAATGACAATTGGAGCCATACAATCTTTACAGATAAAACAACATTTGATCTTTTTGTAACAAGATTCACAGATGGCATAAAGACCAGTTCGTAGATTACCAAAATCACAGCAAAAAGTAATGGCACGGGGAAGAATTTCACACGCGTGAATTTAAATTGCCATATATATTAATATTATTATTTATTATTGGAGATGTTACGAAAAAAATTGACCTGACAAAAAATCAAATTACTCAACAGATACATAAGATAATTAGATCTATTTAAAAGCCTATCAATTACTTTATTGAATAAAAAAACTTGACCTTGCCAATTTTTTGTAAGGCAAAACCAGTGTTGGGAAAATTTAGGGAACTGGAACACTGGAACAAAACTTCCAGTTCCAGTGTAAAGACACCTCCTGCAATTGGTCATTTGCAGCAATGGTAACCACCGTTATAAAATATTTACGGCTGCCGTAAATAAATACGGTTACCGCAAACAGATACAGCTGCTGCAAATTTTATTTTTACACATAATTTCATTGTAAATGAATAATCAATTAATTGAATTCATCAATTACAATTCAAAAAAATCCAGTTATTTCTTTTTTATAACATCGCGTTACAATATGGAAATATAGAGAGTGCATTAATATCATTATATAAATCGCAGATAAGTATTTAATATATGTAAAACATAAGAAATATATGTGGTCGATGGGGTAATGTCAAATATAATGGTGAGAAACTTATCATCTCAAATATTGTGATATAGTCGGTGAGATTCCAATAGTAATTGTGAAGGCATAAATTATTATGTTTTAACACTGATATGTCATATCATTTGAAATTTAATATTTATCAATGCAATAGTAGATAATTGGTGTAGTTATTATTATACTAATAAGAGCGGGCGAAAAAAAAAAACAAAAGATCAATGAGTATAGAAAAGCATTGAATTGATTACCAACCATATAACGGAGCCAGTTTCAATATGTTTCTTTGTATAACTAGAATCAGACAACATAATTCAAGAATCTTTGATTTGAATTCTATTACTAACTCAAAATTTACTATTAATTCAACAGACCAATGATCTAATTTTTAGATTGTATCTCTGCAGTGGTATATACTATTACATTCAACTAATCATTCATCTCAGGTAAAGGGCGAGTTTTTGTCACCTTTTGAATAAGTATGGGGAAAAATTCAAATCCGAAAATAATTCCTTGATACCTAGGGATTTTTATTAATCACGGTAAAATTTTAGTCTACTAATCAGGCATTATAATTTTAGCAAATTGAATATATATGCATCAAAATATAATAAAAATATATATTATTAATATAAAGTGTCCAATATAACAAAAACAACATTTTTGGCTCGTTTAACCTCAGGTGTTTTAGATGTTTCCGGTGGAGGTGATGATACTGGTGATGGAGTTGAATATTTTCGTTTGGTTAATTGAATTAATTTATTGTCAAGCCATAATAAAGTGTGCTGAAAAAAAGATGCCAATATCATACTTAAAAAAAACATGCGAATCTAAAATGTTAATAGTATAAAAAGTACATACGCGAAGTCCGAGTAAACCTTTAATAAAATCTATTAGAAGGTTATTCATCTCTGGGAGAGTTTTAGGAACTATAAATGTCACCATCTCATTAAAATAATAAAAATTCGTTGGTGAATGATAAATCATTGAATATACCACACATCAGTAACCTACCAATTTCATTATGATAAAAGTATAAAAAAAATTTATCCAAAAGAATTTTAAAAAAGTTTGCATATTACGTATGATTTACTTGTATTCCAACTGTAAAAATACTCTCAATATCTTCTTTTTTAAAATGTAATACGTCGCGTAAATTGCCCAACATATCCTTTAGTTCTATTTTGATTCCAGTATGGTCTTAAATCATCATATGACATTTCGGTATTTCCAAAATTTCTACATTGTAACTTCGAAGTTCTATAATTATATCTAATTTCGTTGAACTATTTCCAAATAAAATGTACTCGGGGTGGATTTTTCGTCTCTTTCTGGTATTTGTTGATTCAGAAATTTTTTCAATCCTAAAATATTTGATAAAGTTTGAAAACATGAAAAAATTTTATAAGCATTTAATCTCCATAAGAGACTCAAAAATAACATACCCAAAGACTTCAAATATGCTATCAAATTCCTCGAGTAAATCAGTCATTAGGGAAAGTATTATTCTTGAGGTGTGGCCTCTTTCATCTAAAGGAATTGATAATTGATTGATTCCATGTCAAAAATTCTTATGACTATAAAAAAAAAATATATACCATAGACAACTATTAGCATTATTCTTAAGCATATCCACCGATTTCTGCAATGTTACACGATTTCAGGCTGATTTTGGGGCACATTTTCGTTGTTTTTAAGAACAGGAGGGAACGTCCTATATAAGGAATTGATTTTCACAATTGATTTCAATTTTTTTTATACAGTTTAAAATA